CCAGGAAAGTGAGTACAGCATTGTTCCCAACAGAAACAGATTAAGCTGCACCGAGTAGACTTTGTCTAGAGGGGCAGGTATAAATTTAATACAAGTAAAGTAAAGTAAAGATGGCATCTACATTGAACATTTATTCTACTGTCTGAATTGTATCAATAAATGGAAATCTCCTCTGTTCCAAGCCATTTTCTCAGAACTGTATTTTCAAAACTTCAAGATTCAATACAGGGATGCACAGCTGTGAGATCATCATAATAGTAGTTAACTATTTATCCATCACCTCCTGGGAAATTGAAGGGGAAGATATGGACGTAGTGACAGATTTTACTTTCTTGGGCTCCATGATCACTGCAGATGGTGACAGCAGCCCCGTAATTAAAAGATGCCTGCTTCTTGGGAGGAAAGCGATGACAAACCTAGACAACAGCTTAAAAAGCAGAGACATCACCTTGCCGACAAAGGTCCGCATTGTCCAAGCTATGGTTTTTCCAGTAGTGATGTATGGAAGCGAGAGCTGAATCATAAAGAAGGCTGACCGCCAAAGAATAGAGGCTTTTGAATTGTGGTGCTGGAGGAGACTCTTGAGAGTCCACCGGACTGCAAGGAGAACAGTGAGTACAGGATTGTTCCCAACAGAAACAGATTAAGCCACACGAAGTAGACTTTGTCTGGAGGGGCAGGGTATACATTTAATACAAGTAAAGTAAAGATGGCATCTACATTGATCATTTATTCTACTATTTGAATTGTATCAATAAATGGAAATCTCCTCTGTTCCAAGCCATTTTCTCAGAAGTGTATTTTCAAAACTTCAAGATTCAATACAGGGATGCACAGCTGTGAGATCATCATAATAATAGTTAACTATTTATCTAATGCTTCACAGCAGGGATGTGGGAAAAGGTGATGGGAGTCTCATAAGTGGTTCAGGACAGAGAAAATGGAGCACCTGCACCCCCCTCCAATCATTGCTATATACATGAATTGGGCTTTTCTGTTTACAACAAGTTCCAAAATGGGGGCTGCAGGTCCATTCAGAGGTAGCAGGGCTCAGATTTCACCTCTGAAGCTGTGGATTAGAATGTCCCTCCCAACAATGGGCTGCCAGTAACTCGGCACCTCCCGCTCCCCTTGCCTTATACTGTTCCTTTTTGGCTGGGAATGAAGGCACACAGAAATGTTAGCTTCTTGGCTAAACCATGTGTTTCAATCTAAGGCAAGGGGGCAAGATCGTAATCTAGTTTCATACCGAAATAAATCTGTTAATCTTTAAAATGGCACAATGCCTTTGTGTTTATTGTTCTTTATTTCTTATGCATGCTGAAACAGGCTGAAATGTGGCTCCCTCTGTGAAAATTACAGTGTGGCCTGTGCACACATTACAAGAGGAGGCTAAGTATGATGGGCTTGCAGGACCTAGTCCAGTTTATAACTAAAGTTTGTTTAGTACCTTTAAGAAAACAGATTTATTATAATATAAAATTTTATGGATTGCAATCCTGCTATAAGAAATCTTCTAGTCTTAAAAGCACCTCCTCACTCCTTGGCTGAAAACCTCTTTGTGTAAACTTTACATAATCAGTTGATGCTAATTGTAGCTATCTGGTGAGATGCCAGGATACATCGTGGCGGCTTAACTAGGGGCACGCCAGGCACTCGACTAGCTCACCAGTGAACTGCAGCAAATTATGCAAACTTTAGATTTGGCCTTTTTTTTGTAATAGCAGAATAACATGGCTAACCCTTTGAAAATATGCCAGTCGTACACAAACCAAGCACAGAGTAAGCACTGCAGATATCAACTGGGCTTTGTTTTGTATAAATACTACACTATTCCTTCGATGCACACTTTCCTGAGAGAAAGCTACACACTGAGTAGGAGCTGCTTTGGGATGAATATGCACAGGGTTCTCCTCTTGGTTAATTTATCAGTCTTGAGTACTTGATTTAAAATCTTGTGATCAGTTCTTGTGTTTGATTGTGAGGCACTGCCACCTACAAGGCACTTGTAATCAGAGAAAAGAAGGAGGGAGGAAGACACAGAAAGAAAGGGGGAACAGAATAGAAGCAAATAAAGGGGCCTAATTTTTTTTATCAGTTGAGAGTGTACTCCCATTTTAAACAGGCAGGAGTCCTAATTAGGAAGACAAATTATATTATAATTGGGTGACAGACATGTCTTTGATGAACAACTTTGAAAATCCTTGCCATCTCAGAACAGCCACTTTTCCCTTCAGTGGGTGATGCCTCTTTTTAAAAAACTGCAACATGGGCAGGCACTGTTTTAAATGAAGCAAAATGAAGCAATCCAAATGTTGATTCATGTGTACAGACTGAGTGGATTAAAATTTGTGTGATTAACTGACTGACTGTTTATCAGCTCCTTCTCAATAACTCTTACCCAGCAGCATGCGTCTTTACTCAACACCAACTTTCTAATCTGGCTCTCCAGGAAGGTGCCAAAGAACTGTGATATCAGAACAGATACCTGAAGGCTGTAATCCCACACTCCCATATCTGGGAGTAAGCATTACTGAACTGAACAGGAGTACTTCAGAGTACACACACAATGGAAGAGTCTGCTGTTAGGTTCTAATCCTATACTGATTTATCCAGGAGTAAATCCCTTTAAACACATTAGGGCTTATATCTGACTAGACCCAACCTGGTGCCTTCTAGCTGTTGGTGTCTACAACATGCAGCATCCCCAGCTTTCCTGGCCATTGGCCTTCTGGTTATGGATCGTAGGAATTGTCATTACCACATCTGGAGAACTCTAAAGTTACCTATAGTAAATCCCAGTACTTGCAACAGTTACTTTTTGGGACTAAATCTGCCAGAATCCCCCAGCCAGCATGGCCACTGGAATCCACTTCTGAATGAAAACAGGCAGGACTGCTAGTAGGTAAGCACTATTTATTATGCACAAATTCAGTAGACATCACAACTGGAAGAAAGGACTACTTTAACTGCAGCAGAGAGTCTTGAGTATCTCCCTTCTAAGCTGACATCCTCTCTCCTACTCTGGTGCGCTTTCATAGATTCTTTTATTGCTTCTCTTCAAAGCTTCTGCAGTATGGAAAGCCCTTTCTATATTCCAGAAGGCTTTAAAACAATATTTAACTAAGTCCACAGGAAAGATTGGCTTTGACCCTTTGCAGATACAGTTATAAGCTCAAACACTTTAATGTTTCACCTCAGAGGGGCCTTACAGACAGAGCAGTTTTAGGAGCTGTATTCCCACCATGAGAGCAGCAGGTCAAGCAAACATTGTAAATTCCTTAGTGCCTTTTATCTCTAATGGCTGCATTTGTGCTCTGAGGAAAAAGAGGCTTCTATGGTAAGGGGATGAGAAAGGATGAGACGGTTGGACAGTGTCATCGAAACTACTAACATGAATTTGACCAAACTCTGGGAGGCAGTGGAAGACAGGAGGGCCTGGCATGCTCTGGTCCATGGGGTCACAAAGAGTCGGACAGGACTAAACAACAACATGATAAGTAAAGAAGATAATAGACAGATGCAAAGGCTATAGATGATAAGTAAAGTAAGATAATAGACAGATGCAAAGGCTATAGAAAAGTATACTTTTCTGCCACCTTGTGGCAACGAATATAAAAGAGCTGCATTCAAAAAGAAGTTTTCCCAGAGCATGTAAGCATTAAGTAGCTAGTTAAAAGTAATGTAGTTTCCTGTAACATGTTATTTTTTGGTAACAAGAGTGGAGCTATATTACATTCTAAAAGTAAAATATTGTGTAGTCACATAATTACTTGTTGAGAAAATGGTAACTTTTCCCAGTTACGTCTGAAAGTTACTTTAAAAAAGCATTTCGAAACATTTTTGGAAGGAATTTAACAGGAGCTTTCTGAATGTTTATGCATCTCCTTTCAATTCCAAGGGGCAAGGAGCAATGATAGAATTGGTCATTAGAAGTAAACAAAAAGTATTTCAAGAAGGAATTATTTTTGTAACCAGCGTAACAGTAGTGATAATGATTACCTGACTGCCTCAAAGTGATGAATAACACCCTGCGTTTCTTTTTTAAAAAAATAATGGCCTGAAGTCTGCTTTCGCTATTATGCCGAAAGATAGAACTATCCACACGCAGAAACATATTTCCAGGTATGGTACCAGTTGCAAACAAAGATGAGACTGTATGTATTTTTTTAAACCTTATCTAATGCGTATGCTACCCCTATTCAGGCATTTCCATAGTCATTGTGACCACGGACTCATAATCAGTCCAGGACTAGGACACTATTTTATTTATTTATTTTATTTATTTATTTGATTTATACCCCGCCCATCTGGCCTAAAAGACCACTCTAGGCGTATCACTTCCCTTAGCTTGGGGGCCATTCACTCAAAAGATAGCTATCCCAGGCTACAACATTGTAAAAGAATTATGCAGGCACTTCAAAATATTTGTTTGTCAGATTTACCTTCTGTGTTAAGTGTATACCTTTAAAAGGTCATACATATTGAGGTATGAAGTGGATAAACTTTGTTGTCACATTTTTTCTTTGAAGGACAGAAAAATGGAGACTTGAAGCAAATGTCGGCATGTCTTGATGGCAGGCAAAGACTTTCATATTATTTTGGGCTTTTTTATTTCACATTGTTAAAAAAATTTTGTAAGCCACATTGGCAATATTGTATATTATGGCAGTCTAAAATTATTTATAGCTGCAGTTCTGGGAACAGGCTGTCTTGAACAAAGTGGAATTTACAGCTAAGTAAACATGCATAAGATTGCATTATAGAATACCAGCTCAAAAGCAATCCTGTAGTTGCTGGGGATTTCTTCCAGGTAAATATGCACAACACTGAATCAGAAGTCCAACAGTCTCTTACAACTGGCAATGCTAACAGGAACTATAAGCCAAAATATATACTGTAATGGGCTAAAGGTTCCCCACTGATTGACTATAGATCCCTGCCCCGAAATCAATTGGACTTGCTTTGGAGATAAAGCATGCATAGGATTACTGTAAGATGGCAGCAGTTCTCCAACTTTTCAAACTTAGTCCCTGCTCAATTCTACTTCCCCATCTTTCCTTTCTTGCACCAGTCCAATGCCAACTATCTCCTCAGCAGATGCACAGTAAATAGATCTCGCATTGAGCAGTGTGCCAGCCATGCTGGAAAAAATCAAGCATCTCCATCTTCAAGGCTAAAGTAGTATTCCTGACTAATCATATTTGCAAGCTAGTTGTAGATTTTGAAAAGTTCTCTAAACATATATGAGGAATGGTGCATTCTAAGTATACTGCTATTTTTACAAACCCACTGTCTGAATAGTTAATAGCTGTGAGGAATAAGAATCCAGAGTAGAGTTAACAAGTCTTAGATATAAAACAGCATCACTTCTCCCAAATAACACTTACAGCCACCCTGTCTTGATATTATAAACTATTTTCACTGCTTCTATTTTTTGCATTTAATCTTTCGACTTTGTCATGGTGACAGTGTAAGACTGGGGCTTCAGAGATCAGGGTTCTAGGCATTAGCAGCCTTCCTCTCTTTCTTTCAAACTGACATACCTCACAAGGGTGTTGTGAGGGTAAAGTGGGAAAGCCCACTGAAGAAAACAGTAACTAATAAATATGACCAGAATTCAGGTCTTAGACTGGACAAAGACATACCTGTGTGAATGTGCTTATCTGTTCCAAGATATCCTTTTACTTTACTGCACATTTCCCAGTTTTATTCTTACAACCGTCTCCCATCCAACAAAGGCAACAGTCCATACCCCTGATGATGTGGGCTACTTTATTTATACTAAAATAAACTTGTTATTTTTAAAAGCATAACTAGATTCTTTGTTGCTGATTTTGCTGTGGCACAGTGGTCAGCTACCACTCTGAAAATATTGGTGATATGACACCATCCAAAAACCTATTGACCATTATATGAATAGGTAAAGTTGACATGTAGTTGGGGTATTGCTATTGTTGTTTTTCCATGTGTTAGTTGTTTTTAATTTGCATTTTATTTTTGTTTGTATAATGCATCATGTGCTTTCCAGTGAGAAGCTTTCAAAGGTGTGCAGACTACAAGAATAATGAATGGTATATAGTGAATTTATCATCTGAGTGTGGAAACTTCTGTAGCCAAATCAGCACCGCCGATGTACAAAAGTGAGCTACCAACACAGAGGAGGTTTAAGTTTGGGACCCAATGAGGACTGAGCAGAAGACTTGGGTTTGAATTCCAGTCATGGTAACTGTGGGGGTGGCTCTGATAAAACAACTCCTTAAATATCTCACTAGGCTGACTGGATAGCTCAGTGAGTTAAGTTTCTAGCTGCAGAGTCTGAGGTTTTCAGTTTCTCCCTATGCATTCCAGAAGAGTCAACCTGTGTAGCCTTGGGCAAGCTGCACTGCCCCAGGACACCCCCAGAAGAAGGGAATGGGAAGCCATTTCTGTACCTAGAAAACCCTGAAAAAAGTCAACACGTCAAAATTTACACACACACACACAACTAAAAAGGAGGGAGGGTGTTGTGGACCCCAGGGGAGCGACAATGAGTCAGGCTCAGTGGTTCTCAAACTGGGGTGCCCAGATGTTCTTGAACTGCAACTCCCAGAAATCAGCAAGTGGTGAAAGCTTCTGAGAATTACAGTCCAAGAACATCTGGCGACCCCAGTTTGAGAACCACTGCACTAAATGACCCCATAGACCTATCTTTTCCTTCCTAGTTTTCTTTTCCGCTTTTAACCAACCGCTATGCCTTTTCACCGCCGCTAGGAGGCAACAACGAGCAACGCCGTTCTGACCTGGCTCTTCTCTCTCGCCGTAGCTCCCTGTGGTCACATGACAGGATCCGGGCAGCGACACGCGCCTTCATTGGCGAAAGCTGCGGAGAGAGAGCGAATCACGTGGGCGTGCGGGGTGTCTTCCCGGCCGTGACCGCGGGGCGCGCTGAGCTGGGGGCTTGGTTGGGGAGACGATGAGCGGCGGCCGGCGGAAGGAGGAGTCGACGTCGCACTCGCCGCAGCAGCAGCAGCAGCAGCAACACTTGGTGGCCAACGGCGGGGGCGGAGTGTTGCGGGGTTCGCTGTGGAGCAAAGCGCTGCGGAGCGACTCCTCCTGGGAGGACAAGGTGAGGCCTAGACCGCCCCGCCGCGCATTGGATGGGACGGGCGGGCAGGCGGGGGAGGGGAGGTTACCCTGTGGGAACCGGGCGGAGGCGGGCAGGCCTCGACCTTGGTCTGTCGGAGCAGGCATGGCTTCGCCGGAGCGCCGGGGCTGGATATTCTGCCCAAAGACATGGACTTGGTGACCATAGAATCAGAGAGTCCCTCCTTGGACGGCGGCCTGTGTTCGATCAGTCCAGAAGTCCTCAAATGCTGTACACGTGTCGAGTTGTCTAGAGCTATTGGTTGGGACAGAACAAGGCTGAGTGGCTGGGACCCAGTAAGTGGTGTGGGACTACAACTTCCATCATCCTTTGCCACTCGCTCTCCTAGCCTGGGCCGATGGGAATTGAAGGCTCCCTCAACACCTCTGCAGGGTCATAAGTTAAATAAATCAATAAGTTGCCACCCGTGTTCTTGGTGGTTAACAGATGGGAGGGAAGGAAGCAGGCTGATGTTGGAACATTCAGTCATAATTTCAGGAATAGTTTGTAGGAGGAGATTGCAGATCCTCAAATGGGCTTCTGCAGCTGCTGTGTTCGTTTCAGGTTACAGATAGAGTTGTCACTTGGACTGCTGGGTTGAAGGAAGCAAATGATTCCCCCTCTTTGAAAATATGAATCATCTTTCATTCCTAAGTATCTCTGTTTGTTTGTGAAAATCCCAAAAGTCCTGTTAGGTGGCAATAGGAAGGATACAGGCAGGTTTTACACTAACAAAACTAGACACAGTTTGATTTCTGTTGCTTTTTAGAAGCCTAGCACATTACCTATAATTTAATAGCTGTCGGGAGGCAGAGAATATACCACGAAAAGATAAAATCTGAATTTTAGATTTCTCTGTTTCTTCAGTATACGATCCCACTGTTTGAACAGCTTAAATCTGCCATTCTTATTGTTTGCCTGACATTCTTATTGTTTGCCACACTAAGTAAAAAGGAGAGGCTGGAGGATTTATCTCTTTATGCTTGTTCAAAAAAGTCTAATGGTAATCTTGTTTTTATAGGGAGATTTAACTTTTCAAGTGCTTTTCAGTGGAAAGTGCCTCTGAAATTAGGATAAGTTGTGCAAAAAGAGAGTTGAGGGGCTTGAAGAGAGAGATCCATTTGAGATGGAATGGAGTGTGTTGCAGCACTTCAGTGGAGCAGGCTTCTGTTCTTCAGGGCTGGGGACACTTAAAGATTAGTCTTATGTGCCACTGAGGTTTCTCATGATTCTGTGAGGTACACAGAATGACCTATGACATAGATTAAGGAACTGGAAAGACTAGATACTGATTCTGGTTCAACTGAGGTGTTGTTGGAAAGCCAGTGGTAAATTATTTTACAGTAAGTAACTAGTGGTAAATCAATAAAAACACAGAAGTGACATCCATTGAACACAGTAAGGTTTTCTTCTAGATAATCTTACTAGATAGAGAAGCAGGAGTGCTCTGTATGCAAGGTTAAATATTGTCTTGAATAACACCATTGGTGACAAAGTTGCGATTAGACTCTGAAATCAGGGTAACTGGTAACACAGGTTGGCAGACATTGGGGCATTGTCGGTTCTATTAAAATTGTACCCTTTTAGTAATGCAGCTTATATGGCTCCATATGTGTTTAAAACAATGGATCAGCAACCAAATTAAAGCAAAAAATAGATTTACACAGTTGAGTCAAGAAAATCGGCAATGTTTTGTCGTAGAGATTCACTTCCAATTGCCCTATTTCACTTGAGAATATTATTTGGCATAATCTTTCTAAATTAGAATTTAGTTTATGCAAAGGTGTTGTGGGCACAGGGAAAGCTGGATATTATGTAATTAGACACATCCTGTGGGGGCAAGAGGAGAAGGGGACAACAGAGGATGAGATGGTTGGCCAGTGTCATCGAAGCTACCAACATGAATTTGACCCAATTCCGGGAGGCAGTGGAAGACAGGAGGGCCTGGCGTGCCCTGGTCCATGGGGTCATGAAGAGTCGGACACATCTTAACGACTAAACAACAACAAAAACAGAGTTTAATCTATTCTTTGTGTTCATGGGAATAGATCTTTCCTTTTGTTCCATCCCACAGAATTTGGAACAAACTCCACTGGTTAACATGGGCTATATTCTTGTTTGGGGTCTGAAAGATTTATCGTTAGAAGTTGAGTTAATTGTCCTCTGGTAAAATGTGCAGCTTCTCTCCATCTTTCCATTGCAAGTGGAATCTCCCTCTTCCTTGTCAATAATTGTAAGTAAAAGTGTGTAAGGTAGAGGCTAGCTGTATTGTACTTTTTTGTTTTCAAAGCAGATATGATTATGTGTGGCTTGCAATAAAAGTGCTGCTTTTTCTTAATGCTTATCTTCTTATGAGGTCGGAGTATTTAATTGCATGTAACTGTTAGAGAAACAAAATGAAGTCTTCAGTGTTTTTACCGAATAAAATCTTCAGTATTTCCCCACTCGTACTGGGGATATACAGATATTAAGCAAATATAATCCATGCATGATCTTAGGTCTTAGTAGATCTTAACATGTTAGTAGAACTTAACATCAGAAAGAACATGTATAAGATGAGAAAAATATTGTTTGTAGGTGGTACTTCAAAGATGCATTAATGTGTGACAAAAGAAATGGCAAAGTGTGAGAGTTGATGCAGCAGTACGACAGCTTCCATACTTTATACACGCGATCTATTTCAGCAGAGTGTGTATTAATTTTATTTTTATAGGAATATCTGGTTATTTGGACAGTTGCAGTCAGGTGGAAAAATTCAACCTGCTTGATCCAGATGTAACCATGGACTTGACTATGGTGCAGTGCTTTATGCTAGCCCCGTATAGCAGCATCCAAGATTTAAATTATGGCTTGTCTGTTAAATTCAGTGGAACATTTATATTGTCCAGTTTTCTTCTGTCTCAGTCTAACCAACCTAATGGACTTGTTAGGCTCAGGTAGCTCCTTGAAATTAGAAGAAGGGGTTTTCTTTCTCTTAAACTGAATGCCACAAAGCATTTAAATGCGTGTCTTCTGCTGTTTTCAGGTCAGCGATTTGAAACTTAAAATATATTTCCAACTCAGATCAAAGCAGTTATGTTTCTCTCATTCCAGTCCCTTACTTTTCTTTTGGAAATGTTTCCATAGTTCTATTGAACAAAGCAGTCGAGACATCTTCAGGCTTTCTGTTAGGCACAAGAGCCATCCTGCCTCATGTCTCCTATGAGAACTATAAGTTTATATGAACATTCATTTTGCCTTTCTTATTTTGCAGGATGAATTTCTAGATGTGATTTACTGGTTCCGACAGATCATTGCTGTTATCTTGGGCGTGATTTGGGGCATTGTTCCATTCAAGGGATTTGTGGGCATTGCAATGTAAGTTTTCATTTGTTTTTGCTTTTTAGGAGGAATTGTAATGGATACCTAGTATGGTTTAGGGGGTAGAGTGACAGACTAGAGGACTTGGGAGGTTTGAGTTCGAATCCCTATCCAGTCATAGAAATTCCTGGAGGTGTAGAATTGGAAAACCAGTCCTCGGATATCTCACTTACCTTGAAAGCCCCATGAAAGCCCTGTTAGAATTGCTGTAACTTGGTTCTGACTTGAGAGCATATAAAAGGAATTATAAAGTTGGCGGAGGGCTGAAGTTGAAACAGTTGAGATGGGTTGGGTTGCCTCCCACCCCCATGTCTGAAAAATTTCCGAGACAACAATTGCCAAATTAAGAGCATTCAGTGTTTTTGCAATGCAGTTTGTGGAAAAGTCACCTTGATTTCACTGTAGAGGGGACAATTCAAGAACAAACCATCACACAAAAGATGATACAAAGATGGGACCTCGATATCTGGCAGAGCATCTTCTCCCACCTAGTTCTACCTGAATCACCCGACAAAGCCAGCAGTGACGGCTGAGGGGCCTAACGCCGAGAGAGGCCCGGAAAGAAAGAACAAGAAACCGGGCCTTCTCGGCAGTGGCCCCTCGGCTTTGGAACAGCCTCCCTACGGAAATTTGTCTGGCACCCTCGCTGGATGTTTTTAAAAGCCATTTGAAAACATGATTTTTCAGGCAAGCTTTCCATCCAGTCAGTTAAACTGTTTTTACTTTTTCTTTACTTTTTCTTTAATCTTTCCATCTTGGCAAGGTTTTATATAATTTTATATAATTTTTATATAATTGTTAAAATTTTTTTGATATTTTAATGTTTTAAGATACTGTTTGTTGTGTTTTTATGTATGTAAGCCGCCCTGAGTAGACCTTGAGGGGCGGGGTATAAATTGAATTAAACTAAAGATACAATGTTTGTGCACAATGGTTGTGCATTAACAACTCCTGAGATACCAAAAAGGATTGTCTAGAAACTCAGGTATTTCAGTTTTGTGAGTAGAGCTAGGCTGCGTGGCCTTGGGCAAGCTGCACAGTGCCTGAATACCCCCAGAAGTGGGACACTGTAAACCACTTCTGAGTCCCATCAGCTCTTCCAGCTAATGGTGAGGGTTGATGGGAATTGCAGTCCAACAATTTCCGAAGGGTTATAGATTTCCCATTTCTTGTTTAGAATGCTGGACTTGGGTAGTAGAGTTGGGATTTCAGAGCATGTAAATTTGCTTTGGCTTTCAGTTGCTTCAAAAGTGGAATTTATTGTAGAAAAAGCCCTAAAATAGCTTCTGTCTTGTATTTTCAAAGGTTTAAATTGTTCTGTAAACTCTTCTTATATAAGTAGCCTTCAGTCTCTTATTGGAGAGAGTACAGCAGGGCATAAATATTTTTTAGTAAAATAATTGTTTTGGCAGCCTTGTGAAAGAAAAGAGACCTGTAGTAGTACGCACCTCCAATTCTGTTTGGTGAAGACTTCTGTTTTTATCGTCGTCGTCGTTGTTTAGTCGTGTCCGACTCTTCGTGACCCCATGGACCAGATCACGCCAGGCCCTCCTATCTTCCACTGCCTCCCGGAGTTGTGTCAAAGTCATTCTGGTAGCTTCGATGACATTGTCCAACCATCTCATCCTCTGTCGTCCCCTTCTCCTCTTGCCTTCACACTTTCCTAACATCAAGGTCTTTTCCAGGGAGTCCTCTCTTCTCATGAGATGGCCAAAGTATTGGAGCCTCAGCTTCAGGATCTGTCCTTCCAGTGAGCACTCAGGGTTGATTTCCTTTAGAATTGATAGGTGTGTTCTCCTTGCAGTCCAGGGGACTCTCAAGAGCCTCCTCCAGCACCACAATTCAAAAGCATCAATTTTTCGGCGGTCAGCTTTCTTTATGGTCCTGCTCTCACTTCCATACATCACTACAGGAAAAACCATAGCTGTGACTATGCAGACTTTCGTTGGCAAGGTGATGTCTCTGCTTTTTAGGATGCTGTCAAGGTTTGTCATCGCTTTCCTCCCAAGAAGCAAGCGTCTTTTAATTTCGTGGCTGCTGTCTCCATCGGCAGTGATCATGGAGCCCAAGAAAGTAAAATCTGTCACTGCCTCCATATCTTCCCCTTCTATTTCCCAGTAGGTGATGGGACCAGTGGCC